GTACTTTTTTCCGTTGTAACAATCGGTAATACCAAGATTTTTCCTACACAGTTGATTCCTTGGATCAAATAAGACAGAAAGTCAATACAAAAAGTTCAGATGCGGAAATAATAAGGCAGTCAGTGATTACACTGTCATTATAATATAAAGCTACAGACAGCAGCTGATTGTCTTTACTTAGCATAACGACTAGTTGCTATATCATGGTAATCTTTATATTATAACAGAGCCAGCATGCTGTTTCTCCCTGTTTATAGTCTTTATGCTTAAGCTACTTAAATCCGCCACTAGGTGTAGCTTCATATTTATTCAACATAAAACTTTTGTTGTTATTGTCGTTGTGAATGCCGTTTACAGAGGACTCCAGGAGTACCTATTTTTACCAACATTTTAGGTGCCCTTTGTTAGAGTGATGTTGCCTAGTAAACAGATCGTATCATTTTAGTTGGTGAAAACAATGTAATCATAAGGAAGTAAATTGCATCATTCTTTAAACATCTGGAAACTAGCCATAGACGCACTCCTGTCTTTTTGGAGAGACAACAAATGTGGCATGAAGCTCTTGTTTATGCCGCCACAGACCAAATCCCAGTGCAATGTGGCTTCACGCTGCATAATCAACAACGTGGTAGAGGTACTACAGTACACAAACAAATCTGGAGCACAAGCTTCGGCACGCTTAAAGTTGCTACGCTGAATCAGTAAGACCAAGACCCCTCCACCATGCAGGAGCGTACGAGTGAGCCTGCAGTTTTGCCTGGCTACTCAACAAAACCTCGAATGACCTACTTTTGATTTCTACCCCACAAACACACATCGCAGTTCATACAACAGGACTGAATGGGGATTGTAAGTGTGAAGTGGATCGACCAATCACAAGTCACACAACTTCATGCTGGTATCAGCTACCTTTCCTAATGCAGAGTAAGGTTTTCAATGAAACCCTTTCCAAACCAAGGCAAGTCCAGTTAAATGATATCCCAAGAGGCGATGTGTTTAGAATACAAACAAGCTGTTGGGATGAGAGAGCGCAGTGGCCCAGTGGTAAATCACTTCCCTACAGGCTATCAACAACCTCCTCCATCCAAAACACAATTCAATTATGGATGGTGCAGCAAAAATAGAGTAACAGGAAACATTTACAACAGCAACAGTAATTGTGTTTGGATCCCATTCCACAGGAAGTCATTACCATAGATTTCAAGAATATCTTTATCATCCAAGTTAAGAAAGAATTTCCTCCTCTGGTTGGGATAATATTTGTGTTGGTGTCAGTGAGAGGACAGAGAGCAGAGCACCGCGGAGAGGGATGGAGTTACTGACAGAAAAGGGAGGGGCTTCCAACGCCTCCTAAAGAGAAAAGTCTGAAAAGCAGTGTTTTGCTAAAGTCCACTCCCCTTCCTGGCCAGCCAGCCCTGCTCAGACTTTGCAGCTCAGGTAAGATTAGTTAACAACATTGGATAAGAGCTGGCAACATGGCAGACTGGTTTCCTCTGCATGAGAGGAGAGGAAGTTCTATGACAGTGCTGATGTCTGCAGACGGAGAGCCTCGGACTCAAATTTCCTTACACACTGTGAAAAGCAATCCACGCCACAAGTCCACACCTCTTCCTCCAGTTCAATATTCCCAGCTGAAACACAGTAGACCGGCCTGTCATTTTGTATTAACCCAAGAAGGAGGACTATCCCGCAGAGGCCCCCGCTAACCGCTATCAGATCAGCTGATAATGACCTTCTTTTATTACGCTCATGATGGGAAGGACAACATGCATCTACTTAGTGAGCTGATAGATGCTGGCAGACAATGTTCTAATCAAAAGGAGGGAAAATGGCTGTTTATTAAATCCACAAATCGCCTCGGAGCATGGCTTTGGCAGAGCGACGAGGGCAACATGGCAGCTTTGAGGCTTCTGAGGAAGAAGAGTCAGAGGGATAGCTCTCCGCTCTATTTATTTTCTAAATAAACTGTTTTTACACAGTGCCTATCAATCTGAAGAGCATTTATATAAGACTCTAAGGTCTGTGAGAGACGATTCCTGAAAAAAAACAAAGTTAAGTATACGTAAGCCGTAATCCCTTCTTCAACCTCACACCATTCTTCAAACACTTCAGACGCACGGCACTAATGCAAACATTGTCACGTTAACAAAGTGCAAATCTACTCCTTGTTAAGGTGCTCTTACAGCTTCCTTTAAACATCATAACTCTGCTGAACACGGCAAGGGTACAGAAGTGTAACAACATCATGTAGCCTCTTTAGGTCATCTATAACTGACAAGCAGTACCTGGAGACATATGGCCTTGTTACTGTCATGCAGTCATTTCGTCTCCCAGGGAGAGGCAGTTAGACACTTTTTGCTGCCTACCGTCTCTGCTGTTACCGTCACCATGTGGTGGTTGCATTGTGGCCCCCAACATGCGTCTGACCCCCCCCCCAGGGAGGCCAGAGCCCTGTGTGAGCGAGGTGATGACTAGAGAGGGTCAGCATGGGCTTGTTTACACATTACAGACCACACAGACAAGACACGGTTAAGACAGCATATGTACACCATGTGTGTCTCAATTACAGGCAGGCCATGAAAGCTCAACTGCTTAGAGATGAGAGCGGTTGGTAGCTCACTCAGGTTTCGTTACAGAAAATCTATTATATTCTTATTTTCACATACTATGAAGACAGTTTGAGCACTGCTGTCTTCATCCCACAACAGAAGCGTGTAATAGAGATCATCTCTCAGCAGAGGGCTCCAGCCTGGCTGAGGTGACAGAGCAGAGGCAGAGAAGTCTTACATCCATCTTTACAATATATTCTCTGTTTTGTTCATCTTGTTGTTCCATTCTGCTCAGCTGTTATTGGGATATGACTTTAAGAAAATAAATTGGAAGCAGAAAAATGTGTTAAGTGCCGTAGTTGCATCAATGAGAGTTGTTTACAACTAATCTCTTGCTTTTAGGGCTGTTTTCATTGTTCTCTGAGAAACTCCATATTAAATCCCCTAGAGTTATGGAGTCTGAATTCAAATGTAATTCATCTGACATTCATCTTCTGCGACAGCAAAGAAAATCATTTTTTGGTTTGTTGATTAAAAACCTGGTAATGTTCACGATTACCAAAATGGAAACACTTCTGTAAGCAATGTTGTTTTTTTTAGCTATATACAGTTTTCTTCTTGTTTCTTATCATATGAATATGAGATTACAGATAAAAGGTATAACCTTAATGGAAAATGTATATAAACAACAATGCATAATAATTCAATTGTCTTTGTATATGTAAATACATATGACATTCTCTCCATCATGTGCATCATAGTACTTTTAAACACAGCAGTTTAAAATAATATGCCATCAGTGCACATTCTTGTTTATGACCATACAGCAAGTATTCAATGTAAACAATGCAACCATCTTCCAGCTCATCCAAAAGAAAAAGATACATCCTCACTCCCTTTCTGCAGGAAACTACTTCATATTAAACTAATAATGATTGACACTTGGATTAGCTTCAGCTGAGACATCAAACCTAAATCAGAATAAAATGTAAACTGTAAAGTATCTAAGAGTCTTTTCATATCCGATGTGTGTATGCAGGAGTGTGTGAGTGTCACCACAAAGAAAAACAAACAAGCACACTACAACGCTAACTAGCCTGAGAGCTGAGGGCATCTTTCAAGTGGCCGGCCGACAGAGCAGCCTCTCATCTCACAACCTCACCGCACTCACAGGTCACAACGAGAGCTTTGATCACTGCAGAAATCTGTTTCCCATCCACATGCTCAGCATGCTCATTGATTTTCCATAAGGAGGGCCGAGGAGCTGATAAGTCTGCTTGAGTGAAGCCCCCCATCTCCTTTCAACAAAGGTATGCATGTGTTTTAGAACTAGAGGAGGTTTAAAGCAGAGCTGCTACATTCCAGGAGTTTACGGACGGCAATCCCCGATAACTGATGAGGAGCAAGTGGTTTTAAAGTCCAGGACAGAGAGATAATAATGCATTTGTCGGTTTTGTGGCAGTGGCTTAGAGATCATCCGGGGAGAATGTTTGACATAAATAATTAGGGATGAGATGAATCATTGACATCGTGTCCTCAGCTTCCCTTTCTCATCAGCACTTGAAAGCTGTTTCCAAAATAGCATCCCTTCAGCAACTAAATACCAAATTTGGAATTTTATTTGAAGAAAAGAGCTACACTTGCAATTATACTGTATACATTTGCATTAATAAATCATCAACTCGGACTGACTGGAGCACATTTTCATAGGAACATTTCAGACATGTGGAATAATTCATAACTTTAGAAGAAGATAACGTAACATAAAATACAAAAATAATGAAGCATTATGCAACAATTTTAGAGAGATGTTAAAACAGAAAATAAAATATTATAAATCGTTGTAATTCCTTTTTTGCCAGCCAATGGCTGTAAGTGGATCCACATAATATGACATGATATCAGTCCAAAGACGATCTGAGCAACAACAACTGAGCAAAGATAAAAGCAAAATGTCTTATCCGCACTGTAGTGTAAAACAGAGGCATGACATGTAAACACGTACTGTAATACAAAAAGAGAAAAGAAAAAGAAAATCTACAACTACTACTTTTTTAAATGATTATGATCCAAGTAATACTATTGTATTTTCATTATTATTACAATTATTAGCCTATTATTGTTGTTGTTGATGTTGTGGTGGTGTGTTATACTACACATAGAAGAAATTAAAAAATACACCTCTCTAATCCTCAATCAAATATGTATTTACAGTAATAATATTAATAATACAAATACAAATAAAAATATGTTTTTAATAAATAATAATAATAATAAAAATAATAGTAATAATAATTGTTATAATAATAATAAACAAGGCCATTTTGTATGATTGTTTTTGCTATATCCCTTCTCCCTCCTTTCCTCCGTTTCCCAAAAACACAAATCTGGTCATTGTAAGCAGAAAACAAGGCAAAAATAGAAAAGTTGTCTGGGACAGAAACTTCTTACCTGGTCCCTCTGGATGCATGGCAGAGAGGTCCGGCGATGTGACTTACTGTTGGACTGACTGTGTGCCATCTCTGAGGCTATCACAGAACTGGACCTCCTGCGCCTTTTAAATACAGGGATCTCTTCCCTGGCTCCAGTCACGGGGGTGCAGCCCTCCTTGTGTCTCCCTTGGTTGGGAAGGAGCTTGTCAGCATACCTCGCCAGCAGGATGCCCAGCACTCCAACCAGGTACGCTACGTACGGTCTCCAAGTGGACCGAACTTTTTGCAGCGAAAAGAGTGAGATAGTCCTGACAAAGCTGATGAAAAATATCAACGATATGCCCTGATTCAGCCGTGCTACCATGAGTGCACCGGTGGCCACGCAGACGAGCACGACCACGGCTGCTGTCGTGAATGAAAACAGCTGCTCATCTGTCCCGTACACGAGAGACCACGCCGCTGATTCGCCCAGGTGGCACAAGGTTAGAAAGGAGAGGGCGCTCTGGATGAGCACTCCGCAGCGGATTAAGTAGACACCGACCCAAAAGAAGGCACAAACGAGGGTAAACAGTGGGGAAACAACACTCCAGCAAGTTTGCAACAGCTCCGCCGCGCAGCCTGAGACGAAGTGAAGGGGAGACGATGAACGCGAGAGTGTGTTGTCAGCGCTGCTGCTGCTGGCTTCAGCTTTCCAGTCTGCACATTTGACCAGCAGAGCGAGAAAAACCGAAAGCGACCCCACACACACCGCACTCCGGAGTCTCTGGGAACTCCATATTTTTGTGAACATTAGCCTCACCCACGACTCGTAATCTCGGTCACGGCACAGTGGGATGACACATGTTTTCACATAACCATTGCTATCCGGTGCGCTGAAGCTTTTTTCACGAGTGCTGCTCTGCGCACCGGTACTGTCAGATTCTGCAGGCATCGCCATCACTCATGGCAGATATGAAGTATGAGGAAGTCTATATTGCATCTATAGCAGTGTGGTCATGGGACAGGGCATGAGTAGGTGACAAAACAAACATCAATTATTGTACGCATAATGAAAAAGTACAGCGAATACGCGCCCATGCGTCTCCAGTTACGCATGGAGATGGGCTGCCACTGAACGCATTCCCTTTGTTTATCCAGGTGCGGGTGGAGAAACTTGTGCTCGAAACAGCATAAAAGGATCCTGAATGACAGAGTTACTCAGATGTTATTCAGATCTAGGGCACTGCTTCTCTGCACACACGCGTCCTGCTTTGCCCTCCTTATTGGCGTGTCTTCCCTTTGAGTTCTCCTTCTCCTCGCTTTGTGGCTCCACGGCCCCTTCCGTGCAGCAGCAGCAGCAGCAGTCTTTGCAAAACATCAGTCCCGTTCCGTGAACACTCAGTGACAAAACGCGCTCCCCGTGTCCATTGTGTGAGCACTTCCCGGTCTCTGATGAAACAGTAGAGGCTCCCCTGCTACTTTCGAGGATATACGCTGCTCAGGAATTTAAACAGTTTGAGCGAGTGTCCGTCAGGTTACTGCTCTGCGTTTTGTGGGGCAAATCCGGAGTGTTTGTCACCAGCTCTCCAACCAGCTCTCAGCTCATTCACACCCCCGAGTTCCCACTTCACACAGGGAGCAAGATTACAGCAGCAGTGAAACCCCCAAATCTGATCTCAGCCAGCCCAGCAGGCGTTGTCCTAATTAGATCTGAATTATGTTTAGATTTGTTATCTCTTCTGAGTCTTACATCATAAAAAAATGAATTATTGTTTTTTTTAATACAGCAGCAAAACCAGTTTTTCTATCAAATATGGTTGACCTATATAAACATTTCAGGCCATTTGTATCTCAATTGGTGCCCTTTTGATGTGTGGTTTTAAACTACATCGACACCTCTTGAACTAGGTAGCAATGTTTTAGATGTTGATGAGAAAGATGTTACCTCTTCACACACAAAGCTTTGCTGTGAAATGTTCAGAATATTCCTGTGGTTGCCCACCAGCTTGACTCCTAATGTCCCCACTGCACCAGGTCATTGAAATATTCATCGTACTTTAAGTGTCACTGATGATGTGTTGCGTCACAGTGGAACGGTCTCCATCAATGTTTCAGTATGCAGGTCTTCCGTGTGCATAAGAAATGTGTGCTCAGTCCAGGAGGCACACGTGTGTACCCTCAGATGTAAAGCTCTCCTGGGATCACACCTTCGCACATATATAAACATCTAAGCAAGCACATAAGAATATGAAGTATACTGTGCACAGTATACTTCTCGACCCTCTCTCGTACATATTTTTATACATTTACCCCTGAAGCTTTTCAACATCTGGTCTTCTCACAGCATCCAAATGAAGTCAGAGCGTTCTAATTGACAATGCTCTGTCATGCCATGCTCTTGCAACCTCATGTCCTTCATTAATTCATGCAAATCCTGCAGCCTTCAAAACTGAGAAGCAGCCTATTTAGCAGGTGATGCAGATGTTCTTGAAATCTGTCTTTTTTTCCCTGTCTCTACCTGTGCTCTTTCCCAGACAGCTCAGCACTCTCTCTATCAGTGTGTGTAGACAGAGTCCTGTGGACCCCTTGTCAGTTGTGATTAGCGGGAAGTACGGGAGGAGAAGAAGTGCTAACAGGGAGCGATAGGAGCAGGAGGAGGCCAGATCCTGTCCGTCACCTCTCAGCACATGCTCACTGAGTGCCAGACAGCCTCTTTCAATGCAGTGTATCACACAGGACGGCTGTCGGCTCCAAGTGCGAGCAGATTGTTGCGACAACATCTGTTTTTTTCACCTTATCAAAACCCACATTTGTAACTTTTCTTTGGAACAGTTGAAACAATACTGCTTCATCTGAATGGTTTATTTAAGGGGTGACAGGAACAGAAACGTTCTCTTTTTACAAACAGAAGATAAGAGCAAGACAAAGGCGAGAGGTGTTGAAGACAGCCAGAAAACTGGGATATGCAGGCATTCATTTTTCTTGTAGGACACGGGTGCACTAATGTTGTGACATTGGTGTTCCTCTTTTATATTTCAGAGGCAAATTCATCATGTCAGGGGCAAAAGGTTGTTCAAAATAACTTTATCTGTGTGTGGTACGGTGATATGAAATGACGCAGGTTATAATATTTTAAAGGCTGGAAAACAAGAGAAAAATTACAGTTATGCCAGATGTGGAATATCTGGATCAACTATGAAAAGCCAAAACAGCTGTCCTTTTTTTCCTGAAAACTGTCAATGGCCAGGAGGAATGACACCCAGCATAACTTGCATTTTCTTGTATGAAAAGCATCACTTTCTGGTTCAGATGAAAACGAAAAACCACAGTTACAGCAGCCACGGGCAAGATCATTGGGCACGGGTTGTATCGACAAACCCGTCTAGAGGCCTTTCTGAATTACCCGGAAGAATTTTAACGACTGGGGAATGCTCACGTAACCATCTTACCCTATTTGGCTGTGTCACGGTCCACTGTAAAAGAGGAATCTTTTTATGAGGAGCAATTCATCAGACATCTGGTTTGGGTGTAGCATGGGGGGCAGTGATCTGATGTGACCTCGCTCAGACCCTCACTGGCCTCTGGGACTGCGGCTGACAGATATGATGTATACTCAGGACGTGTGAACGTGCTACACAGTTGTTTACCATTGATCCACCGCACACTGCACCACCTACTGTACATGCTCTAAATGATCCCATAGGAACATGAACAGATGACCTACCTCACACTAAATTACATTTCAGAAAAATCTGGTTGCAAATTACTTTCAGTTATCTTTAATGTAACTCTACAATAACAGCCGTCGGTTCAATCACACTTGGCAGGAATTGTAATGAGGCACATGAGCTACCAAATGTGGATTATCTGTACATGATTACACATACAACACAGGATGATTTAGAGTCCTTCAAAGACCAAGCGAAGAAGAAGAGCGAGCGGCTGAATGGAGTGATGGAAACAAGTTTACATTGTGTTTGACACTCCATCGCAGCGTGTTTACCAGCCCTCATGGGCAACGGTCGGCTCATGGCCAAGTTTCCACTGAGGTGCTGTGGACACCACACACACACACACACACACACACACACACACACACACACACACACACACACACACACACACACCACACACACACACACACACACACACACACACACACACACACACACACACACACACACACACACACACACACACACACACACACACACACACACACACACACACACACACACACACACACACACACACACACACACACACACACACACACACACACACACCACACACACACACACACACACACACACACACACACACACACACACACACACCAGGAGGAATCAACAAGCTTCCCTTCTCTTCAGAAACACGGATCTGACCTGACGTTGTTTCCCAAACTGTAATTAGTCCGTGCTATCTTGTATTACTCAATCAGGACAAAAATGGAGCAGGAACCTACATCAGAGCCAGCTGCATTATGTATGAGCCTGGGTCAGTGGTTTCAACATTTGCGAAATGTTCCCATCAATTTTCCAATTTGTACAATCCAGTGAGTCATTGGCACAAGAGAGCTTTAGGATTTAGATGTCTTGTAACAATTTTACAAATCCTATATCCATTTACTCAAGATAAAGATGATGAGAATTACCCACTGTTGTCAGAAACTGTAATTACCCTCTAGTTTAATGACAAGTACAACAATGATGGGATCAATAAAAGATTCATCTGCAATAATGGCTAATAGATTTGTCTGTCTTTGAACAAACTTGCCAAACATGTCATGTTCCCATCAGCTTTTCAAATGTGTGGACTAGCATGACGAATATCCAATATTTGTACAGTTTTCTACTGTTTTAAAATATAATTACTCAAGAGAAAATGATCTTCAGTTGAGTTATTAATGCAAATATTCCCCTGCTTGAAGTCCAATACTGTCTACTGTTGAAGAGAAAAGGCTGTCGCTACCTTCCTCCTGTGTTTGTTGGTAAATAAAGCTGCCGACTCTCTAGGCATGGCAGACTGTAACATACTGTATCTAGAAGAAGTGTCGTAAAATGTCACACCAAAACAGGTGTCTATATACAGTACAGAACATGCAAACCAACACAAACACACACAGGGGTTAATCGGGGTAGATGTTTGAAAGCTGATGCCAATACATATAAGAGAATGGGACTGCCAAAAGTTGTTTTGGTTTTGCTCATTTTCATGGCAGAGAAAGTGTCACCGCCTGAATATTTCCTCAGAAATCACATTCAACCAGTGGGACATAATCTCTTAACAAAACCAAGACTAATTAAATTCTTCTGGCAGCTCTAGGTAGGATTAACAGAACAGCAAACAGTAAACTGTGAGGTCTTTAACAGACTTTAAATAAAAAATGGATTTGTAGAAACTACTCAAGAAATCAATCAATGGCACCATGTTTTAGTCTCCACACCATAACATTGTCGAGGAAAATATACTGCATTTATCTAACATTACAAATTGAGATTTGAAAACACATAAATGATGTGCTACAACAAGGGTTTGCAGGGCCTTAACTTGTAGGCTATAGTAGTATTTTTACTTTGTGGTGGTGTTACATTTACTTTAAGGGGATATATCTTAATAACCTTACTGTTTCTGTGCTTGTTCACATACATTTGGGTATCTGGAGTGCCTACCGAAACACCACATGTGAAACAACCCCGTTTATTTTGCCCCAGTCAGAAAACATGAGTTTCAACAAGCTGTTAATATTTGATTCGTATCCTCTTTCTATGTCACATGCAGGCTCATTAAAATATACCTCTCTCCCTCTCCCCACAATTTGAGAATTATGATTTTGCAAAGGTGATGGAGAAAAATCATGTGTTTCTTGAACATTGAAGCATGTAAACAAGAAACCCAAAATACAAGTATGAACCTGAAAATGAGCGTAATCTGTTTTCCCATTACTGTCGAAACTCTTTCAAATAAACTAGATGAATGTTTTGGCTTGGAATGACAGTCAAGATAAAAACAAGCCCAATTTTGTTTAGGCTTTGATCTGTTGACATTTAAGAGAACCACATTTTCACTCTGTAGTAACACAATATAGTTGTTAGATGAAAATGAGCGTAATGTGTCTTCTTTAAGCAATATAACATGTGTTATTCATACATACAGACAGAACATGTGCACACTGGCAGGGCTCAGTTTTTGGAGAATGACGGGGAAGAATATTGGGATTGAATTAGAAGACGGAGACTTAATTCACTGGTGTGGGTGGGAGCACTGCGGGCAAAGAAAGAGAGAAAGTTGAAACACTGCCTCAGATGAATAATGCAATTCCAAGGTTTGAGTGGGAAAGGAGCCACACATTTGATTGCATATATTCAGGGGAGTTAGGAAAGTTGCATGTGTGAGTTTTGAATATTTCATATCAGAGTTTTCAAAGCTGCTCTGCCACCGCAGCTCGCTCAGACCATGTGGCAGCTAGCTGGCGTGGGAACGTGCTGCTTGTCTTAGACACTGGATATCAGCTTGAGCCTGGGATTTATGCTAACACAGGGAAACTGCAGGAACTTGTATTATATATCTCTGTCTCTCTTGTTCTGTGGAGTATAGATTAACTTC